TGAAATCCCCCACAAGTCTAGCTGGACAGAGGAATAGGGTGACTGCTAGTGATTTCTAGAAGAGAAGATAAGGGTTGTTGTTGTATCTGAGTGATGACACAAGCAAAGATGGGAGTGATCCTACCAACCACGCAGCCAGACACCTTGCAGTAGGAATTATTCCAAGCTCGGGACTAGCTGACAGCAAGGGATGGCCTATGCTCTGGAGCTAGCTGTAGCCATATGTGTGGGATGTATTTGCAGAGAGAGGGCCATTGGTAATGAGCTCTGAAAAGGCTCTGACAGGACAGACCATCCCATCACTGAAATGTGAACAGGGAACAGGAACATGCTCCTGGGTGTTGCAAGCCAGCAATGCAACAGGGCGCACTAGAGTAGAACTGATGCACAGGCTGCACTAGAGTAGAACCAAAGGCAAGAAGTATGTATTATGCTGGTGGTGGACAGTGCTGGAGAATCTTGTCTGTCTGACTTTACCATCATTTCCTCCCTAACTTCCTGTGATGGCCCTGTCTTGTGGTGACCCTCATTCTGGCTGTAGAGTGCCACAAATGCTCCATTCAGAGCTACTCATGGTACGTGTACTATAAACACGCACCTATGGCAGATAAAAGTCCACCTCCTGCTAACAGCTAAAGGTAATTCACTTTTAAGGTAAGTGGTAGAATGTTATACTTATGGTCCCAACCATTGTGATGCTGAGCATAGGACAAAGCCTTGATCCAGGATAGCCCTTAAAGGCATGCTTAACTTTAAGGATGTGCTTAAGTCTCATTGACTTCAATAAGACTTAAGTATGAAAGGTATACATGTGCTTAATTGCTCTCCTGAGGGAGAAAGCTTTCTTGAATGAGGGCCTATATATGCCTAGTCAGAGAGAACTGGACAATCATGTCTGCACTGTAGGGCTGTGTCCAGACTCAGGGGTTTTTTCGGGAAAAGTAGCCTTTTCCCGAAAAAACTTCCCCTGCGTCCAGACTCAAGCCGCGTTCTTTCGAAATAATTTCGAAAGAACGCGGCTTTTCTTTCGATGGCGGTAAACCTCGTTTCACGAGGAAGAACGCCTTCTTTCGAAAGTTCCTCTTTCGAAAGAAGGCGTTCTTCAATGTAAATAGGGCTTCCTCGAAAGAGAGCATCCAGACTCACTGGGTGCTCTCTTTCGAAAAAGCGGATTGCTCTTTCGAAAGATCCGCCTGCAGTCTAGACGCGATCTTTCGAAAGAGGCTCTTTTGAAAGATGCTTTCGAAAGAGCCTCTTTCGAAAGAAGCCTGCAGTCTAGACATAGCCTACGTAAATATCATGTAGACTCAGGGTACGTCTAGACTACAGGCTTTTGTCGACAGAAGTTTTGTCGACAGATACTGTCGACAAAGCTTCTGTCGACAAAGAGCGTCTAGACTACATTCAGTTCTGTCGACAAAGCAAGCTGCTTTGTCGACAAAACCCTGTAGTCTAGACACAACCCTACATGCAATAACACCTTCTGTCGACAGAACTCTGTCGACAGAAGGCGTTATGCCTCGTAAAATGAGGTTTACCAGCGTCGACAAAACAGCTGAGTTCTGTCAATGTTATGTCGACAGAACTCAGTGGTAGTGTAGACGCAGGTATAGTTTTGGCGACAAAAGTCCACTTTTGTTGACAAAACTCTGTAGTCTAGACACACCCTCAGCCAGCGTTTTGCCACATTTTCAGATTGTCAACCCCTTATTCAGAATAAAAAAAATTGCACTCCCCCTTATATTTATTGTGGAAACAAGTGCAAAAAAGTGTGTCTACAGTAACAGGGCTCAGCTTCTGTAATTTATTTGTGTGTGTATTTCAAGAGGTTGACAAAGAATAGTTGACCCGGGAGGCTAGGAGTGGGGGAGCAAGATTTTCTTTGTTTTAATTGCAATAGAAATTTCATTGCCTCACGACTCCGTCCTTTCGATTGCCTTGATAAGCACTGCATCGGGCTGTTCTAAATTACTCTGCCACACTCAACTCCCTGGAGCCCTTGGAACAAAGAGTTAATTACCTGGCTTTGAAAGCACGTTTAATTGAATCGTTGCTATTTTCCAGTATTGAATGTCTTTTACATGGTTAAAGCATATGAACAATAGGAACACATTGAATGCACCTTCTAGTCTTTATTCAACGCTACTGAAAAAAACATGAAAAGAATACTAAGTTGTTACCTCAGCAGCACTGAACAGTGTGTTTATTTGGTCAGAGAGGCAGGTGTTACTAGCAACCATCCACTTGCTGTCGATGCACCCATAGATGATATTCCCTCTGATGGGGTTGCTCAGACCACTCACATTTTTGGAGTCTGGGCAGGGTTTTGTTATCTGTTTTCCTTGCTCTCCCACACCAATGATGTCTGAACACATAACTTTATTTTCTATAGTAAGACAAAGAAATAGCTGGATAACAGGGAATAGAATTGCATCCTGGGAGATGTAGTATGACTAGGGAATCCAGCCTATGAGGAAGACCAGGGGCATGAGGCACCAGAATTACAATTCCCATGAGACGCAAATGCCAGCAGAGATCATTGTCAAACTGAGCTAAAACAAGACACTTTGTTTCAGTTTTAAAGATTTTGGCAAAGCTGACATTCTCTTAGGAAAACTGTATTTTCTATATTTTAAAAAGCCCATTTGGATAACAAATTCCCAACCAGCTCTAACCTCTACACATGCTGCTGCACGTAAGCAGCCCCCATTGAACACTATACATGTCCTTTGCTTTGGCAAATATTTTAGAACTGTACATTCAATTGCTGTAGATAATTACAAAACTTCCTTCTTACTTGGTATAACAGTTAGTCTCATAGGGAAACTTTCGACCTTATCTTGAATGTGGTTAACAAAGGTACAGTAGACCGTCACATTTGTCCTTGAGTTGCAGCTTTCTGTATAATTGTATAGATAGCACACTTGGTTTCCTTGTGTTGCTTGCACTAGAAAAAAGATTTTAGGTGTGTTAATGTGATAGTTTGATTCCATAATTGGAGTAAAAGAGGAAGTGCTTGTGAAAACCTGCTTTTTCAGTCTCGTAAAGAACAGCTTTCTGAGCCCTTCCAGTAATAATCTCCTACTATTCAAACTTAGGGTCTTCTATTGCTTACGCTCATTCTTTGCCACCTTCTTATGCTGACTCTTCTGTCTACAGATATAAAGTCTAAGCATGTTCTGGCCTTCAAGTACAAGAGCAGCTTTCCTCCAGAGTCCTTTATGGTGCAGCAGCAGTGGCTGGTATAGCTGCTTTAGGACACCTCTTCCATTTCTGCTTTTGCTGCTTCTGTTTAATGTTGCTGGTCTGCCAAAAGTTTGTGAATGGGTTTGCCGATCCCCAGTATATAAAAGGTTGAGAACCACTGGTTTAACTATTGCTGAGGGTGTATGTATGTCATTACTGGGGATATTTTGAGTTAAATTAATTAAACCTTTGACCTTATTACATTTCTGTTCTTGTTTATTTTAGTGAGAAGCAGAGCAGAAATGTATGTCAATCTCATGATATTCGTAAATATTTTGAGCCACTCGGGAACTTCACCTAAACATGCTAAATAATTGGTAGAATGTATAACTGCATTAAATTCAAAGACCTAGAACCACATACATGTGCTCTGGTGAAGACCTTTTGCCTATAACTTCAAGTGAATATGGGATAGTCTCTTACATAGTATTCTTGAGTGTTTTGTCCCATTTGGTTTGAAATTACTCAAGTACTTGAGTTTTCATCACTTGCTTTGAGAGGCTGTTCCAGTGTCTAGTAATCCTCACACACAGGAACTGTTTTCTCTTATTCATCTTAATATGTTTTTGCTTAGTTTCATGGCTATTACTCCTACACACTTGAGACACCCTTAACAATGTCTCTTTCCTTCACATTTACAAATTGTAAATGCTTGGAGAGGGCTATCATATCAACCTGAATCATAGCTGCTCATCAGTTAGATAGCGCGACATGAAAAATATGATCCTAACTTGAGAACATAAAACAAATGAAAGGCTAGAAAATGTTGGCAAGCAGACTACACCTGATATGAAAGTCACTGGCAGAAAGTAAAGACAGAATCCCAACGAGTATCTTTAGGACTTTACTGTAATCATATTTTGGATCTGATCCCACACTTATGGAAGTAAATGGCAAAACTTCATTAACTCCAAGGGGATCAGGCCCTTTAAGACTAAATGGCGAGAGTGTGTTGCTTACACTGCGTCATGAGCTGAAAGACAGGTCTTGAGATCAAAAAGGTGACAATCCCCAATTACACATGATGAAATGATTAGGGGTAACAAAGCACAAGGACTTGAAGAATCTGGATTACTGTAATGAGATAGTGCAATTGAAAAACACTTCTAATTGTAGGCATCATAGAAGTGAATCTTATGGGAGAGTGTCCAAAATTGTCCACACATTCAACACACAGTCAGTACTATTTTCTAGGCCCACCAATGGAGGTGAGGGGTAAAGGGCGCAGTTGCCTCAGGACTCATGATTTAAAGAGGCCCGGGACTCCAAGCCATTGCTGTTACTACTGTGGCAGTATTGGCTCCTGGCCCTTAACATCACCACCAAAGTGCTGTACTATGAGCTCCAGGCAGCTCTGAGGGCTAGAGGTCAGGGGTGCTGCACTCTGGGTGGCACAGAGGGCTGGCTGACCCCAGCCCTGCCACTTCTGCCTGAAGCCCCACCCCTTCTGCCTGAGGTCCCACCACTTCTGGAAGCATGGGGCCAGGCCTCCACCCACCTTTCCCAGGGGCCCGTAGAGGCTGTTGGTCCTCCTGCTATTTTCGGAGTAAATATCAGCTTTCTTACCTCCTATGAATTCTCTTTGTTGAACAGTGAACGTAACATTATAGTTTTCTCTTCTGGTTGTGCAGCATGTTAGGGCACGAGATACGTCGCATTGTATAAATCCTTCAATGGGATCCAGTACAATATGCTGCTTAGCAAGCAGAGGAACAATCTCAACTGTTGTATAAGCAGAGCTTTGCAAAAACTTCTGAAAGAATGTGCAAATATAGGTGCCTGAAAGCAATGGAACAGAAACAGGCCCCTGTTGAAAGCCACAGAATGCAGACTGATGAATTGGTAAACTATGGGTATTACATTTTTCTGGCTATGGTATATGTGTCTGTGGTGTACTTGCTATGGAGGTAGATCAGAAGGGATTGCTAAAGACACCGAGCAGAAAAAGAAAAACGATGACCCAGATCAGGAGCAGCCTTGCAATCACTCAAGAATAACCGCCAGGTTAGTACATGCCTACTGAATTGTCACTGCACAAAACACAGCTGGAGCAGGAACTGGTGATGCTCCCTTTTTATAGAATACTTGTAGTTCTCAGCAGGATGCGAGAGACCCAGGTTCATGTCCCCTCTCTACCTGATTTGGAGGGGAGACATGGACACAGGTCTCCTACCTGTTATCTGAGCATAATAAACTCCAAGAAGCTGTTCCTCAATTAATCATAGAATCTTAGAACTGGAAGGGACCTCGAGAGGTCATTGAGTCCAGTCCCCTGCCCTCACGGCAGGACCAAGCACCGTCTAGATCATCCCTGACAAGTGTCTGTCTAACCTGCTCTTAAATATCTCCAGTAATGGAGATTCCGCAATCCCCCTAGGCAGGGGTTGTGATGAAATGTTGAAATACTTAAACATTAATTATCCTAGACAGAGACCATGAGACTAACTCTAGAGTAGGGGCGGGGACCCTTTTTTGGGTTGGGGGCCACTGACCCACAGAAAAATCACTTAGGGGCTGCACCTAAGTGAAACAAACAAAATAAAAACCCTCACTGACGTGGCCCCCAACTGAGAAGGAGAAAGACGCTCCCCACATTCTCCTTGCACAGCAGAGCTCGGGGGGACCAGCTAGAGGATTTTGTGTGTTCCAGCCTGTGGAACGACAGCTCTGCAATATGGGGGAGGGAGCCCTGAGCCTCTGGGGCCAGAACCAGGCTAACCCGGGGGCCACATGTGGCTCACGGGTGTTAGGTTCTCCACCCCAGCTCTATAGGCTGCTGGTTAAGTTTAGGAGATGCAACTTCCAGGCTCTGTTCTGTTGGCTTCAAGGGACCACTTGTGTGATGAGAGCTGGGCATGTGGCTAAATGTCCTGCTGGACAGGGGCTCAGGTGAAGTTCCTATTTTCGAATGCTTGGCCATGTCACCTCCCGTGTCATTCTGACCAAACCAAACCGAGATGGGATGCCTTCACTTACCATTCCATGCCTGAGTAATAGCGTTCACGGTGAGCACAGACCTGGCTTCGGTTGATGAATTCATGGTGTTGATATATGGCTCCTGGTCTATAATTTTACCTTGGATTTGCCAGACGACATTGTCGTAATTGCTCACATCACTAATGCATGTGAGAGAAAAATTGCGTCCCTCGGAAACCTGAGCTTTTGAGTTGGAAGATTCTATTCTTACACTTGCTGAAAAATAAAAGAGAAATGACACTTTATTGTCCTTTGCACGAGCACAACAGGTAGGCAGAGTGGGAGAGAACAAAGACACAGTCCCTGCCCAAGGCACTTATGCTCAGCTATCTGCAATCAGACTCTAGCAGCATTCTCCAAAGGCTCTTACCTACTCGGAAATACGTCACTTGGATGTCTCTACTTGCGATAGCACCATGCCCCGTGTGCAGCTCACATGTGTACGTTATCGTGGTACCAGACTTGTCGCTTGGGCAATGAGACTGACTGGCATGGAGAGTGTACTCAGTGCAGTTTGTAGTGTTACTGGCGGTTCCTGTAATGAAATAAACAGTCCCAGGCCTGTCACTGCTGTCTGGTTAATAACTACAATAAAGCCTGAAGACACCAGACGTGTCCTGCCCATACAGGAGTAGGCACAAGTTTGCACAGTGAGGGTATGTCTACACTACCACCCTAGTTCGAACGAGGGTGGTTAATGTAGGCAACCAAAGTTGCAAATGAAGCCCGGGATTTAAATATCCCGTGCTTCATTTGCATCTTGCTGGGCGCCGCCATTTTTAAATCCCCAGTAGTTCGGACTCCGTGCCCGCGGCTACACGCGGCACGGAGTAGGTAGGCTTTCTAATTCGAACTACCAGTACACCTCATTCCCGGGCTTCATTTGCAACTTTGGTTGCCTACATTAACCACCCTCGTTCGAACTAGGGTGGTAGTGTAGACATACCCTCACTGTGACTCAGACTTAATTTGTGCAACAGTCACAGTGGTGCACTAGGGACACAGGACAGGGCCAAATTGTGCACATAGTAGTGACACGTGCCAATTACTTAAGGTACCTAATGGCCCAGGTCTACAATTCTGACTCACATACTGGGCAGCACATACTGCCATTGAGTCCAATAGTGCTGTTTGGGTGAGGACAAGTCGCAATGAGAACGGGTTTCAGGTTCAGGCCTGAGAGAAGTATTTTGAATCAGATGATCTCAGCATTGGCAGATTCAAGGTGTTTCTTCTAGTAAGCAATGGAAAGTACAAAGAAATACTGCAAATATTAAAGTCACCTATTTATCTTAGGGGACACCAACATTTTTAAGGGTTCCCCTGGAACTGTATTTTGGGTGTCAAGAGAGCAGGGTTAGAAATAATGCAGCAAATTTACCAAAACTACCCATCTAAATTATACCCATCAGATCTGAGAGTGCATCTATTGTGCAGGCAAAACTCCAGGGCGAAATCCTGATCCCAACACAACCAACGGCAAAATTCCCTGACTTCACGGGACCAGAATTTTACCTCATATATCTGAGTAGCTTACAATGTATGAATCCCTGTCCAAGCGCAATTACATTTGTGCATTTACAGTTACTCAGTTTGCAGTCAAACTTTATATGAAAGTTCCATTTATATACAGTTAATAAAAGGTCAGTAACGCTACGTCTACAATGCCGTTTTTTTGCAGCAGAAGATACGTAAAATGTGCTCTCATTTGCGTATCTTCTGCCGATCCTGTGGTTTTGCAGCTATAATAGTCCCGTGTAGATGGGGCCATTTGTTGGGGGGAAAAAAAGCCTTTAGCACAAGATCCTGTAAATCTCATTTTTTGAGTAGTATGTGAGTGTGAATATTTTGTCTTACCGTAATTATTTATTGCTTCATTTGTTCTCCAGTTACTAGTAAAGGATTGTATATCTCCAGCAATGCAACAGCTCAGCAATACTTTGGTACCATTACATACAACGTCCATCTTCTCTGATGACACTATATCTATTGGTGTGATGCTTATATTGTTTGTTATTTTAAATGTCACCATGTAGCTCAGAGTGATCTCCTTGAAATTGCAAATATAGAAGCCTGTAAAGGAAATATACTGTTTTACTGCTGAGAATTCATTCTGCCTTCATCCCCAAAAGCAACGAAAAATAGGTTTAGCTATTCACCACCTAATCCAACAATAGCGTAATCATTTTAATCCCTTGTTGGCTGTCATAACCTATGTGATAATGATTCATGTCAAGCTTCCATTGCTGGTGGTAGGTGTCATAGGCCCACTGGTACAGTGGCACTGTGAGGGGAACAACGAAGTATGACATGTACCTCTCTACAATGGACCTAGTACCAGAGCTCCCATATCTGCCCCTCAGTCTCTCTCTCTCTCTCATTGCTGGCAAACAAGCGTACCATTTATGGGAGGTGGGGGAGGAGGGTGCTACCAACTTTGAATCCCTGGATTTCATACTTGAGGTCTGCTTAAAGCTGCATACCCTGACTCTAGAGGCAGGTCTTAACTGCAACAGAGTTTGAGTTCTTGCAGCTTTGCCTTTGGGGCAGGAAGTTTGTTATAAAAAGAAGGAGTCAGGGTGATTAAGAATAACAAAAGGCTGGGTAGTCAAGTAATTGAAGGATTGTTAGATCATCATGAAAACATTGCTGGGTACTCCACTTAAAAGATAGGAGAAAAAAATAGGAATGAGTGTTGTGCCGCTGGGATTTGCATTTGAATCACTGCTGTTAAACTTAAAAATACCTTTAAAAATAAGTGGTCCTGGAGCACCTTAGAGACTAACCAAAAAACCTTATGAATGTTCTTGAAAATGGGGTGAACAGTGGCTAATCCAAACTGACTGCAAAGAGAGTTACAAAGGGATCTCATAAAACTGGGTTATTGGGCAACACAATGGCAGATGGAATTCAGTGAAAAGTAATGCACGTAGAAAAATAAAATCCCATCTATACATACAAAAATGATGGGGTCTAAAACAGCTGTTACCACTCAAGAAAGAGATGTTGGAATCATTGTGGATAGTTCCCTGAAAACATCTGTTCTATGTGCAGTGGTAGTCTAAAAAATAAAAAGCTAACGGAATATTGGGAATCATTAGGAAAGGAATAGATAAGACAAAATACTATATGGCCTCTATATAAAGTCATTTTATGCCCGCATCTTGGATACTCTTAGATGGTCGTCCCATCTAAAAAAAGATGTATTGAATTTGGAAAAGGTACAGAAAGGGCAACAGAAATGATAAGGGGTAGGGAACAGTCTCTATCTGAGGAGAGATTAACAAGACTGGGACTTTTCAGCTTGGAAAATAAATGACTGAAGGGTGGAGGGGATATGTTAGAGGTCTCTAGCTTCTGTTTGCCAGAAGCTGGGAATGGGTGACAGGGGATGGATCATGATGATTGCCTCTTTTGAAGCACCTGGCATTGGCCACTGTTGGAAGACGGGATACAGGGATAGAAGAATCATTGATCTGACCCAGTCTGGCCATTCTGATGTTCTTATATAGAGCTGAAATGTATCTGGCCCCTGCTATACACTACTAGACCCCACTCCCCTTAAAGAGCTGAGAGCGAGCCCAGGACTCCTGATGGTGTCTCTCTCGCCATAGTAACAAAGAAAGAATATACATTAAAATTTTAAGGCTAACCGCTAAGTGCATCTGCACTGCACCCTAAACTTGAAATAAGATACGCAATTTGTGCTATGCAAATTGTGTATCTTATTTCGATTTTATTTTGAAATAAGCTATAGGGGACCCCCGACTTATGACTGCCCAGCTTACAACCACCCTGCTCCGGCCGACGTCTCAACCCGGCACAGCTCCCAGCTGGCTCTGGGCCTGGCACACTGGGTACTACAACTTCCAGGAGGCAAAGCAGGCTGAGAACAGAACCCTCATTTTAACATTGCGCCTATGGGAAATAAGGGTTCGACTCATGACGGCTTGACTTACGACAGTTCTCCAGAAACCAATTAGGTCGTAAGCGCAGGGGTCGCCTGTATTTTGAAATTTGGTACATCTACATGGCACCATATTTTGAAATTCTGCTTTTTCGAGCCATCCCTTAACTGTCATGCCACAAGGTTACAGGGATGGTGAAATAGCACATCTGTTATTTCAAAAAATATTTCAAAATAACAGGTGCGATCCTTGGACGTGGGGTAGCTATTTCGGGATACCTCTGGCATCCCAAAATAGCCATGCAGCATAGACCTACCCTAAGTTGTTGGCCAAAAAAAGTAGAGTTTTCCAGTGCCTTAGTAGCCCCTGGCTAGAGGTGATGTGTGGGGAAAGGGAGGGTGATTGGGTTGGTTTCCCTCCCCCCATTTGGTGCTTGGCTTGTACTGAGCATGCTCAGTAACACTGCTGAAGCCTCTGTCCTCAGTCCACCCATCATGCTCTCACTCTCTTCTCCCTCCCCCCATCCAAATCTGAAATGGCGCCCGTGCTGGCAATTCCACTTCTCTCTCTATCCCTCAAGTTTGCAGCCTTATCATTTCTCCTTCCCCTCTACTAAATAGTGCTGGATTTTCTTCCCTTGCTTCTCCAAAGTCCATCTTCTCCCTCCTCTACTATTCCTTTGTATCAGCCCAACAGACCTCTTGCCTTGACCACTGACCGTCATCTTCTCTGGCTTCCCAAATTGTTACCAGCAGGCCTGCCGACGGGGGAGGAGGGTCAAAAGGGGCAATTGCCTCAAGGACTGGCAATTCTAAAGGGCTCAGGAGACCTGCTTGCCACTGCCACTGCAGTGGCAGGGGGGGCGGCTGGAGTCCCGGACCCTTTGGCCAGCTCTGTGGGCCGATGTGGGGGAATGCAGTGCCAACCAGGCAGCGTTAGGGGCTGTCTGCCACAGCCCCCTCCTTCCACCCGAGGCCCCGCACACATTGACACAATTGTTAGGCTCCTGGTCAAGGAGTGACCCCCACCCACATTGACCAGGAGCCTAACAATTCTGTTAGCACCCTTGGTCACCAGTCAAAGTACTGCTGCAAAAAACACCTCCGTTGCCTGTATCTTTGAGGAGGCCTCTGGCTTCACTCTGACACAAAGTTCTGCCTAATAACACTTAGCTGTTGAGAGAGGTTTGCATGGATAGAACTCAAAGCACTTTGCACAGGAAGTAAGTACCATCACCCCCTATTACAGATTGGGGGAAATTGCCTGACCACGATCACACAGTAGATCAGAGTCAGAGCTGAGACCAGAACCAGCAGTTCTTATCTTCCTGTCCAGTCCACCTCACCTGGCTCCATAACTCTAAGATCTAATAGAACACCCATTTTCAAAGGGCTCTCTACACAGTAACAGTTTAATTGTCTATGGAATCCTATGCTGTTACTTGTTATTATAATATAATACACGCAGTTAGTTGGCATTACCTTTCATAAGCTGGTCTGATAGCACTTTATAGACTAACAAAATATGTAGATGGTATCATGAGCTTTCGTGGGCACAACCCACTTCTTCAGATGATCAGATACCATCTACATGTTTTGTTAGTCTATATAGTGCTATCAGACTATTTGTTGCTCTTTTCTGTGACCGACTAACTCGGCTACCCCCTGAAGTTTCATAAGCTGATTCATTAAAGAAACTCAGAGGAAAATGATGGCAGGAAAGGTGCCTTTGTCCTGTTTTAAATAAATAGAATATATTTATTTCTTTGCCAGTTCAAATAATACACTGTATTAGCAAGAGGGACACAACCGTACCAGTATCAGCCTGTGTAACATTGGTAATTTTCAGAATTGACTTTGTGATTCCATTTGTCATTTCCGTATGTATTAAATGCCGACTGCTATTCGAGATGACAAGTCCAGAATGCCACCAGGTCACATTCACTGTATCAAAACTTCTCTCACATTTCATTATTACCGTATCACCCTGGAAAATGTCTTGGGGGGACACAATGAAGTTGGATTCACCTGGAAAGGCAAGGAGAAACATGATTTATTTTTGTATTTAGTACTTCCACTGACATTTACCTAGCACCTCCCCTCTCAAAGGAATCCTAAGAACCTCACACATTATACATACTCAATGTCAATGATATGTAGCCACCTCGGGGGTTCAGGACATCAGCTAGACAGATGACAGGTGCATAGGGATCAGTTTTGAGGCCAATTTTATTTAATCTTTTTATCGCTGATCTTGGCACCAAAAGTGGAAGTTTCCTAATAAAATTTGCGGATGACACTAAGTTGGGAGCTATTGCCAATTCAGGAAAGGATTGGGATATCATACAGGAAGATCTGGATGATCTTGTAAATTGGAGTGATAGCAATAGGATGAAATTTAATAGTGAGAAGTGTAAGGTTATGCATTTAGGGATTAATAACAAGAATTTTAGTTATAAGATGGGGACACATCAGTTGGAAGTAACGGAAGAGGAGAAGGACCTCGGAGTCCTGGTTGACCACAGGATGACTATGAGCCGCCATTATGACATGGCCGTGAAAAAGGCTAATACGATCTTGGGATGTATTAGGCGAGGTATTTCCAGTAGGGATAAGGAGGTGTTAGTGCCATTATACAAGGCATTGGTGAGACCCCATTTGGAATACTGTGTGCAGTTCTGGTCTCCCATGTTTAAGAAGGATGAATTCAAACTGGAACAGGTACAAAGAAGGGCCACTAGGATGATCCGAGGAATGGAAAACCTGTCTTATGAAAGGAGACTCAAGGAGCTTGGCTTGTTTACTTTAACCAAAAGAAGGCTGAGGGGGGACATGATTGCACTTTTTAAATATATTAGAGGGATAAATACCAGGGAGGGAGAGGAATTATTTAAGCTTAATACCAATGTGGACACAAGAACAAATGGATATAAGCTGGCTAATAGGAAGTTTAGACTTGAGATTAGACGAAGGTTTCTAACCATTAGAGGAGTGAGGTTCTGGAACGGCCTTCCAAGAGAAGTAGTGGGGGCAAAAGATCTATCTGGTTTCAAGATTAAACTAGATGGGTTTATGAAGGGGATGGTTTGATGAGACAACATGATCTTGGTAACTAATTGACCATTCATTATCAGTGGGAAATAGGTCAATGGAGGGATGATAGGAGTTACTATAGAGAACTTTCTGGGTGTCGTGTCTGGTGAGTCTTGCCCACATGCTCAGGGTTTAGCTGATCGCCATATTTGGGGTCGGGAAGGAATTTTCCTCCAGGGTAGATTGGCAGAGGCCCTGGAGGTTTTTCGCCTTCCTCTGTAGCATGGGGTACAGATCACAGCTAGAGGATTCTCTGCATCTTAGGATCTTCAAAGTATTTGAATGCTTCAATATCTTTGATATAGGTGAGAGGATTATTCTAAGAGGGGTGGTTGAGATTCTGTGGCCTGCACTGTGCAGGGAGTCAGACTAGATGATCATAATGGTCCCTTCCGAGTCTATGAGCACACTGCCCAACAGCAAAGTGAAAATTCTGGGCAAGGGTACTAGGGCAAACCTCAGTGTTCAGTAAAAGAACTGAGCATAGAACAATGTGCATAGAACAGACCAGTGCACGAGGCCAGAGGTGCTGATCAGCCTCAGTTCTGATCGGTCGCGTAAGGACTTGCCACAGTGAGCCCTTGCACTGAACAACACAATCCTTGATTTATCTCCTGGTGACAGGTTTCTTGTTGTCAATAGAAGATGCTGTGTGCTACACAGGCTAGGACAGCTGGCCTATTCATTTCCTCCATGGGAGCTGTGCTGTTTTGAAGGTCTGGTCCCAAGTGTTTAATAGTATTAGGCAGCTCTGCAAATTATTGTTCCCATTATTTCCTGTACTACAAATGATTGTTCACAAACTTCTTAAAGTAAATTCATAGCACACATAGTAGATCTTAAATCTTACCTGCTTTTTCTATTGAATAAAAAAAAGAACTAGAGTCTAACATATATGATGCATTTAGTAAGCCTGCTATGTCTCCATTAGCATTTCCAATTTGGCTGTATGTTTCTGGGGCAGCTCTGACCTCATAATCCACAATAACACTTCCATTTCTAAACAGAGAAAAGAATAAAAAAAAAGTATTGATTTGAAAACCCAGCACTTAGGTAATGTGTCCTATACTCAGATCTATGAACAACCATTAACTAATGACTCTCCCCAACCTCTTTATGAGATGTTTACTTGCCTTCCTTCTGTCTTCCATTCAGTGAAATTCACTACCATGCAGAGAGTCAGCACAAAAGCACATGAATGAGTTTGCTCCTATTTTGAGAAATAAAGTGCTGCACAAGCATCTGCATAGGGATGGATTTCACTCCAAATTCTTTGTATTCACTTTAACTATAGAGAATTCCATCTGTTTGCATTTCTAGCATGCCTGTCATACTCTCCTCTGAGGAAGTGGGTTTTGCCCACGAAAGCTCATGATAATATATATATATTTGTTGGTCTCTAAGGTTCTTCAGGACTACTCGTTGTTTTTCATAGTAACTACAGGGCATCTTACCGGCTGTGTCTACACTGACGCAAACTTGCACAAAAGCAGCCGCTCTTGGGCAAAAATTTGCTGCCTTTCTACACTGGCTGCATGTTCTTGTGCAAGGAAACTGACATTCTACTGTATGAAATCAGAGCTTCTTGCGCAAGAACTATGACACTCCTGCTCAGGAATAAGCCCTTTTGCACAACTGTTCTTGCGCAAGAGGTCAGTGTAGACAGGCAATTTGAATTTCTTGTGCAAGAAAGCCCTATGGTTAAAATGGCCATCAGAGCTTTCTTGCGCAAGAGAGTGTCTACACTGGCATGGATGCTCTTGCGCAAAAGCATATCTCTTGCACAAAAGCACATGCCAGTGTAGACGCTCTCTTCTGGAAGAGTTTTTGCAGAAGAACTCTTCCGCAAAAGAGTTTTTGCGCAAGATCACGCCAGTGTAGACGTAGCCGGTACCCTGTTTTGTGTCTCCAGAATGTGTGTGTGTGTGTGTGGGGGGGATGTCTTCTGAAAAACAAAAAACAACCCAAAGATGTTTTTCTTACCTAAATCCGGTGACTCTTGCTGATATGAAGCCCGGTAAAGATTTGTAGCCAGCTGTAAACTGAAAAGGAAGAAATAGATTGCACAATGGGAAACCTCAATATATTTTTCATGGAAGCTTCAAATCTATCATTGGTAACTGGAGAGCTGACTTGATTTCAGCAAATTGGAACTCAGAATGTAAGCTCTGATACAATGAGGCTCCTTTCATTTATATGCTGTGATTTACACCCAGGTGATAGTGATTTGTATGAGACAAATAATCTGACATTTTTAGTGCCTGTAATCCTGAAAGATCTTTAAATACTTTACAGCATATCTGCATATTTGAAATCAATAAGATTTTTGTCATAGATTCCCAGTGGAAGCAGTAACTGGCTCTCTCTAAACTCATATATATGTGTTTATATGACTGGCATTACTGATGTATCATATGCTTTAATGTATTTATCCACACAGCGCCCCCATGAGGTAGCAAGTGTTATCACCTCCATTGGACAGACAGGAAACTGAGGCACAGAGAAGCCAAAGGCCAGACTTTTCCAGGTATTTAGGCTCCTCGAGGTGCAGGTACATGCACAGTCGTCTTTCCAAAAGCACTGGTGTTAATGGGAGTTATGCACCGTCATCCATTACCAGACACCATACCTATGCCAAGGGCAGGCAGTGTGGCTTAGTTGATCAAGCACTGTACTAGGGTTCAGGAAACCTGATGTCTATTCCAGTCTCTACTGCTGTGTGACTTTGGCCAAGCCACTCAATCTCTGCAGACTTCAGCTTCCCTATCTGTAAAAGCCATAAGGATGCTGACTGCCTTTGTGAAGAGCTCTGAAATCTACAGAGGAAAAGAGTTGGATAAGACCTAGATTTTTTGCTATTATTATGTTTTACCAAAGCCAGAGTATGTTCCCCTATTGCCAGTCTTTGGTACATGTTACAGATTTCTCCCTTGCTGTCCACCAGTGCAGTTGTGTCTCCCTACCTCCTACTAAAAATAATGTTCCCATCTCACAAGCAACCCCACTTATTTGGACATGAATAGCCCTCATATTGTATAGACAGTGGTTTAGCAAATGCATGTGTTTTTAAAAGCCAAAGACGTACGGCATCTTCCAAATCTTTTGTGTATTTCATATACAGTTCAGACGAGGAATTCCGAAGAGCATCCTGGAATGTGACATTGAGTCTGACTGACATTTTTATTGGAAAAGCAGAAGTGCCTGTAGCAAAATAAAAACAAAACAAAAAACAATAAAACAAAACTACTTTGAACAAGAAAAGAGTCACAATCAAATGCTTTCAAAGTGAGATCTCCCCAAACAGAACTCTGAATCCAGATACACCCAGACCTTAGGGGTGTTTGAGATTCAGGCTTCTCGCCATGGGGGGTGTTACTACATAGCAAGCTAGGGTGCAAAGTTACCACACTTTGGCTTCCTGCACAGTAAGGTCTTGTATGGACACTGCTATAGTGCACTGAAAGTCCTGAAATGTACTTTAGCTACTACACCATGTAACACATAGGAAGTCAAAGTGGACTCCAGAACTTTTAAGGTGCTGTAGTGGTGTACACATGAAAAGTTACTGCAGACCAGGCTAGCCTGGTGTAGAATTACACCATGGCTTATAGTGCAGTAATGTCCCACATAGACAAGCCCTTAGATATCAACCTAAATGTCTTAAATAGCTCTTGTCTTCATAAGGGGTTGAGTCACATCCTAGGTCTGAACATTTCCAAACTTTGGGGTTATTCTGAATCTGGACATGACATTGATTTACAAATCATGAAATTAAAAAAGACAATACATAGTGGGTTCTTCTTGTTTGCTCTCTGTTTTTATGAACATTTAGGGGACCCTCTGGTTACGTTTTCATGCTTCCCTCTGTAATCACAAGGGCTAGAAATTGACTTGCTGCAAAGAAAGCTGATGTTACTACATAATCCATGATACCAGAAGCTGGGACTTTAAGCAGAACACCACCTAATAGAGATTTATGATAAAATCATGAGTGTTGGCAACACTGCCCCATGATTTGAATGGGGCCAGTCGGATGCAGATGGAGAGTTGCATGCTGGGAGATGTAATTCGCAAGACACATTTTCCTATTCAAAATAACAGCTGGAGTAAGTAGAAGTATTGTGCTTGGTCCAGGAATCACATTTCAGCCAGCCCCACGGATGCATAAAGCTCACTTCTCTCTCCTGAGTCAATGCCATACACTACAATACTAAGCATACCTTACCTCCAGGCTGATGCTGACAATAGGATTCTTGAGAAGACAATAGTATGAGACAGTCACAGATCTCCTCTGCTCTTGGGATGGTACCTGGGCAGATAGGGTTGGCATGGCACACAGCAGCTGGCCAGCTATACCCAGGTTCACAAAAACAACGGACCTCGTTCTTACTGATGGAACTGCATACTGGTATAGATAGAACAGAAAGTGGGTGGTAATGATGTGTTATTCATAATAGTTTGCACAGCAAGCTATTCCCTTAAGTATAGCCACCCTGCTGGATGTGTATGCAAAAGTTTATACAACATACCGTGCATCTTAGTTATTCACTAGCAAGATATAATCCCAGATACCTTGAGAATCCTGTTATATTTGATCATGAGCAGCTAAATAAGAGGGTCTCTTTGGGGGCCAAGTCTGATTCATTATTTAAAAGTTTTCTTTTGAGTATACAGCATGGACCAAATGCGACCTTATTTCAAAATCGTGGATCTGTTGTATTGAAATAGTCCTGCTGACCTATGAGAGCCATGATAGTTTTAAGGTTAGATATTTCACCAACCACTTGGGCTAAAAACAAACAGCATGCATCATCTAAGCCAGTGGTTCCCAAACTTTTCGGCATCACGTCTCCATTTTGATTTTTGAGAAACCTTCACGCCCCACCCCCAAAGTAGTTGCAAAACTTGTTGAGGAAAAAAAAAAGAACCCATTTAAGAGCAGAGCAGGCAGCCCTTTTAAGGCAGCGGCCATTTTGAAGTCTGCCCTAGCCAGCCTGAGCTGCACGTGTTTCGGCGGATGCCCAAGTGGATGGACGGACTGGGCTCTTTCTTGGAGGGGGATCGATGGGGGGGGGGGATTGGGTCACCTTGCGCCTCCCCTGGAATTTCTTCATGCCCCCCAGGGGGGTGCGCCGCCCAGTTTGGGAACCCATGATCTAAACTGTTTTCAATAATGTGTTGCTGTATTTCTAGTAAGATATTGAACCATAAAGTGATATCATTCTGATTGCTATCTTGAACTTTAAAATTCAGCATCAAAAGAGCACTCTCAGAAAAACAATGTAGACACATATACTTCATGTCATCTAAAATTTAAGCCCTGGCTTTATTGCTGTTAATGAGACTTTGGCTGCTAAATCAAAGTTAACTTTCAATGTAATAGCATGAAAACTGCTTTGAACTGAACTGTTCTGTATAAACTAGATCACGGACAAGAAACACTTGGAAAGATGACCACGTGTTTAGAACTAGCATACACATCCTTTCATTGCTCCTTGATTGGAGGTTAAAAAAAAACAGTTCCTGCACTATCTATCTATATTTTAGAGGGGGAAAAAAACAGTGAAGATAGTATCATGAGCTTTTGTGGGTGCATCTGAAGAAGTGGGTTGTGCCCACAAAAGCTCATGATGCTATCTACATTTTTTGTTAGTCTCTACAGTGCTGCAGGACCAGTTGTTTAAGTTTTTAAATTACAAACTAACATAGATACCCCTCTGAGACTTTTATATATTTTAGAGAGTTTGTGATCAAGAACTCCACCTAAACAATAAGAACTAAGACCACCAAATTTGGAATACAGCTGCCTCTTATCATAGCTGAAAGCAGTGTAAAGGTTTGTTGTGACAGGAAAATGGGTGGCTAGAATGAAATTGCTTCTCATAAAACCAAACAGAAAAGAGATAGAATCACCAAATCAATTATAGTCCTTAAAATTGACATAACTGAGCAAATGTTGAAAGAGACTGAAACAAGATGAGCCAGAAAAATAGGATGAACCTGGAATAGGATTGCTTGTCAAGAAATCTTACATAAAAGAGATAAAACAAAGACATTTGGAGTGGTGCTCTGCTTTGGCATAGGAAAACCAATGCTTAAGGTTTGAAAACTTGAATAAAATGTTTTTGGAAACCAAATTAACTATAGTCCTTTTTTGCTAAAACATAATGATAAGAGTGTATAGGGATGAAGAAAAAATACACTTGAAGGAATTCCCATTTTTAAAAAATTACAAAAAAATAAACACAAATTTTAACAATGATTTTTTAAAGAAATCCAAAATAAAAATTAACGTAATAAAAAAAAATTGGATCAAGGAAAATGATCCTATAGTTGGAACCCTCCTTCCACAGGAAGTTATGGTATCCTCTTGCACTGAGGATACATCTCTGGAGGAGGGAACTCCAGTCGTAGGAAAAGGCAGTGTTAGGAATGGAGGATTCGATCATTAGAAACATAGATAGGGGGGTTTGTGATGACCGGGAGAACCATATGGTGACTTGCCTGCCTGATGTGAAGGTTGCGGATCTCCTGAGACATCTAGATAGTCTTATGTGTGGTGCAGGGGAGGAGCTGGTGGTCATAGTACATGTAGGTACCAATGACATAGGGAAGGATAGGAGAGAGGTTCTAGAGGCCAAATTTAGGCTGCTAGGAAAGAGACTGAAATCCAGACCCTCTATGGTAGCGTTCTCTGAAATGCTTCCAGCTCCATGCGCAGGGCTAGGTAGGCAGGCAGAGCTTAAGAGTCACAATGGTGTAGAGAGGAAGGGTTTAGATTTATTAGGAACTGGGGAAACTTTTGGGATGGGGGGAGCCACTTAAGGCCATTATGGCCATTTTACAGATAGGGAAGCTGAAGTCTACAGAGATTAAGTGGAGGGAGCCGATACAGGAAGAATGGGCTCCACCTAAACCAAAATGGAACCAGACTGCTGGCACTTAATATTAAAAAGGTCGTAGAGCAGTTTTTAAACTAAGGACTGGGGGAAAGCCGAGAGGTGTGGAGGAGCACATGGATCAGACAGAGACATTTATTAGGGGAGGTTCTATTAACAGAGGTGCTCTATGTTTTAGTCAGGAGGAGAGGCTGGAAGTACGGGTCGGATCAGATGAGACACAAGCAAAAGAAAAAGAGTCTAATACATCAAGAAATGGCAGACAGATAAATAGTGACAAATTATTGAAGTGCTTATACACAAATGCTAGAAATCTAAATACAGGTAGCCCCTGAGTTATGAAAGCATCCATTTATGACCGTTCGTCCTTACAACCAACCTCCCATTAAGTGCGTTCCTGAGTTACGAACACAATCCTCACTTACGAACAGAGAGGTCACATTTAAATGAATGGGGTCTGACTTCCGAACAGATTGAGTTATGACCAAGTGCTTGGTATGTAACTTGTTCATAAGTCGGGGACTATCTGTAGTAAAATGGGTGAACTAGAGTGTCTAGTTTTAAAGGAGAATAGTGATAGAAATGTAGCCGTGTTAGTCTGGGGTAGCTGAAGCAAAATGCAGGACAATGTAGCACTTTAAAGACTAACAAGGTGGTTTATTAGATGATGAGCTTTCGTAGGCCAGACCCACTTCCTCAGATCAAATAGTGGAAGAAAGTAGTCACAACCATATATACCAAAGGATACAATTAAAAAAAGGAACAAATAGGAAAAGGACAAATCACATTGCAGAACAGGAGGGGGATGCAGGGGGGTCCAAATGCTTCTGTTCCGAGGGACATAGCTGAGGGCTTGGGGGAAAGCCGATGCCTGAGGAGGAGCACATGTATCAAACAGAGACATCTCTTAGGAAGAATCTATTAATAGAATTCTCTATGTCCTAGTAAGGAGGAGATGGTGGAAAATGATAAAATATGGTAAGAAAGGGTTAAATGAAAATGAGTGCCATTCAAACATAGCAGGAAATGGTAGACAGCTAAACAGTGACAAATTTTTCAAGTTCTTATACACAGACACACTTACACAAAAAATCTAAAAATATGATGGGTAAACTAGAATGCCTTGTATTTAAGGAGGATATTGATATAATAGGCATCACAGAAACTTCATAGAATGAGGACAATCAATGGGACACCGTCATATATTGGAAGGACAGAACAGGTCGTGGTGGTGGGGGAGCCGCACTATACATGAAAGAAAATGTAGAATTAAATGAAGTAAAAATCTTAAATGAGCCAAAATGTTCCATAGAATCTCTATGGATAGTAATTCCATGCTCCAATGATAAGAATATAGCAGTAGGGTTATATTATCAACCACCTGATCAGAACAGTGATAGTGACTATGAAATGCTAAGGGAGATTAGAGAGGCTATCAAATTAAAAAACTCAATAATAGTGGGGAATTTCAACTATCCCCATATTGACTGGGTACACGTCACCTCAGGATGGGATGCAGAGATACAATTTCTTGATACCTTAAATGACTGCTTCTTGGAGCAGCTGGTTCTGGAACCCACAAGGGGAGACAGTATTCTTGATTTAGTCCTAAGTGGACCATAGGCTCTGGTTCAAGAGGTAAATATAACTGTATCACTTGGAAATAGTTACTATAATATAATAAAATGTAACATCCTTGTGGTGGGAAAAACACCTCAGCAGCCCAACGCTGCAGCATTTAATCTCAGAAAGAGGACCTACACAAAAATGAGGAAGGTAGTTAATAGAAATTAAGATACAATGACAAAAGTAAAATCTTTGTAAGCTGCATGGAAACTTTTCAAAGATACCATAATGGAGGCCCAACTTAAATGTACACCCAAAATTAAAAAAACACACTAAAGGTATGTCTACAAGTATTCTTGATTTAGTCCTAAGTGGACCACAGGATCTGGTTCAAGAAGTAAATATAACTGGGCCGCTTGGAAATAGTGACCATAATGTAATAACATTTAACATCCCTGTGGTGGGAAAAACACCTCAGCAGCCCAACATTGCAGCATTTAATCTCAGAAAGAGGACCGACACAAAAATGAGGAAGGTAGTTAATAGAAATTAAGATACAATGACAAAAGTAAAATCTTTGTAAGCTGCATGGAAACTTTTCAAAGATACCATAATGGAGGCCCAACTTAAATGTACACCCAACATTAAAAAAACACACTAAAGGTATGTCTACACTTGCACCCTAGTTTGAACTAGGGATGCAGATGTAGGCATTTGAAATAGTAAATGAAGAAGGGATTTAAATATCTCACACTTCATTAGCATGATCTTGTCGGCGTGTTACTCTGAACAAGAGCAGTTTCAAAAGTGAAAGTGCGCGCTGAGACACGTTAGTTCGAACCAAACCCCTTGGTTCAACCTAACGTTATTCCTCAAAAAATGTAACTAACATTACTCAAAAAATGTAACTAACATTACTCAAAAAAATGAGGAGTAATGTTAGTTCAAACCAAGGGGTTTTGTTCAAACTACTGTAATGTGTCCCAGCACGCACTTTCACTTTCGAAACAGCTGTTGATCGGAGTAATGCAATGGCGAGAGCATGCTAATGAAGCGCGGGATATTTAAATCCCCACTTCATTGACTATTTCGAATGCCTACATTTGCATCCCTAGTTCGAACTAGGGTGCAAGTGTAGACATGCCCACAGAGAACCAAATAAGTGCCACCATGGCTTAATAACCAGGTAAAAGAAGCAGTGACAGATAAAAAGATATCTTTTAAAAAGTGGAAGTCAAAACCTAGTGAGGAAAATAGAAAGGACCATAAACTCTGTCAAATTAAGTGTAAAAATATAATAAGAAAAGCCAAAAAAGAGGTTGAAGAACAGCTAGCTAAAAACTCAAAAAATAATAGTAAAATGTTTTTAAAGTACATGAGAAGAGAGATTAAAAAGACTGGGAGTTTTCAGTTTAGAAAAGAGGAGACTAAGGGGAGATATGATAGAGGTCTATAAAATCATGTCTGGTATGGAAAAAGTGAATAAGGAAAAGTTATTTACTTATTCCCTCAATAAAAGTACTAGGAGCCACCAAATGAAATTAATAGGCAGCAAGTTTAAAACAAACAAAAGAAAGTTTTTCTTCACTCAGCTCATAGTCAACCTGTGGAACTCCTTGCCAGAGGATGTGATGAAGACTAGGTCTTTAATATCGTTCAAAAAAGAGTTGGATAGATTCATGGAGGTTAGGTCTATCAATGGCTATTAGGCAGGCTGGGTAGGAATGGTATCCCTAGACTCTGTTTGTCTTGAAATGGATGATAAGAGAGGGATCATGTGATGATTACCTATTGTGTTTGCTCCTTCTGGAGCATCTGGTATTGGCCACTGTCAGTAGATAGGATATTGGGCGAGTTGGACCTTTGGTCTGACTCAGTATGGCCGTTCTTATGTTTTTATATTCTAAAAATAACACTGTATTTTTGTAAAATACAATCATTTAAATAAAGCATGCACATTTTCCCTTTATTTTCCACTTCCCCCCCCAACACCTTAATTGAGTTAGGGACCTGAACAATACCAGGTAAATCTGCTAGTTTTAAATACACAGTGTCTCGGGGGCTCCCATTCTTTATGAAAATTGGCATATGAAAATGACTATGCATAATTTGAAGATGCTTTAGGCAAAAGGCATCATGTTTCATTATTTTTAAAGTTACGATCTGTGGAGTGTGTATTTTTCTTTCTCGTGTATCACTTTTGTATGTGAAGTTAGAAATATGAAGTGTGGATCTATCTATCATTTTATCTGCTAATGTGGGCCATTACTTATACTCTGGAAACAATGGCTGAGTACTCAAAATAACAATCTGTAAACGGTTTTATTTTTCCTGTAAGCTCAAATTCTGGTTGGTCCTAGAAAGACATGTGATCCTACCACCTGATACTGGAATGCATTTTGAATCTTGTATATTTCCACTGGGATGAGGAGGTTAAACAAATGGTTCCTGCCTTTGGAAAAGTGTTTTTAAGGAATGGAAAGCAATCAGGGTTTTTATTCTCAGCTGGCTTTTGAAATTGCCTCCCCGCTAGAGGATACAAATGAAGAAACCTGAAAACAAAGAACTCTAAAGAATTTTAAAACGCTGTACTCTTAGGCCAGAGAGAAAGAACAACTAACTCTGTCTTGAAAGATTTTACCCAAACCAATGGCAAAGGGTGAGGAACATGCTTTGAAACAATTTCTCTTAGGGCACGTCTACACTCTTCACACCAGAGATCGACATTCTAGTGTTCAATTTCGCAGATTCGATTTAGATCTGTGAATTGAATGCTGAGGGCAGTTCCAGCCAGGACCGGTATTCCTTGCAGCCAGGAGGAGTAAGGGAAGCCAACGGGAGCATTTGCTCCTATCTGCCTTCTGCTGTGTGGACGCCACCAAGCTCGGTTTAAGGTAAGCTGATTCCAGGTACAAATTCTATCTGAAGTGTATTAGGCTTAATTTGTGTGTTTTGTTTATTTTGGCTTAGTGACTTACTTTGATCTGTCTGTTTTCACTTGCAATGACTTAAATCCTACATTTTATGCTTGATAAAAACATTTTTGTTTATTATCAAGCCCAGTGTGAATAAGTGTTACCCAGGAGCGGAAGTTGGAGAGAAGCAACCACTGTGCATATCTCTTTTTCATTGATTAAGAAGGCAAATGTATACATTTTCTTTGTGTAAAACTTTTATACAGAGTAAGACCTTTATTTGGGGTTTTGTCCTCTTTTGGGGGCTGTGATTCTGGGTGCTATCAAGACTCTATTGCTGAGCCCTTCCAGGGCTACGCTGGTTCAGTGTGTGTTGATCTGCTGGGCAGCTCTTACTCCAATTCTGTGCCCCAGAGGAGAGGTAGGCAGGCTCAATGGCACGGCCATCACATTGGGTGACTGCCCCAAAGGGACCTGTGTGATCCTACCCATCACATGTGGAGTGTTTGTATTTTTTGTCTCATCTTTTAACTATCTAAAATATCAAATAACTGAAATTTTACATACTAGCAGCTGGGAAAATAAAGGTTCTTCAATTCTTTGCCTGTTAATAATGTCCTTTGGAATTTCACTGGAAAGAAAATTAGCTCAAGAAGTGTGTGTTCACATGATAGGGACAAAGTATAGCCTCTTAGGAGTGATTTAAATTCCAAATTACATTAGAGGGAAGTAAATACTTTGAAAATCAGTACTGCAGCTTCCTGAAGCATAAAAGTGACTCAGACTGCTATTCGTGTTGTGGCATTAAAACCATGATTGAATGTTTTAGCACCAGGTTTCTCAGGTTCCCTCCCTTCCTTCGGCAGTATCACTGCAAGGGCCAGGAAATGCTGCTATCTGTGATTTTTTTTTCTCTTTTGTTGGGTGCTTTCCCACTTAGTAGGTAAGAGGGACCACTTTGCCTTCACTGGTTGCTATGTGCAAATGTGAAGGCAATCCAATTACTGGCAAGCCATTGAATTGTTCAGAACATCAGAAGAGCGACCTGCTCACCGGTAGTAATGTTGATGCTTGAAATGTTCGCCACTGCATCTGAAGTGCTCACTTCAACTGGAAAACTAAGATTCTGTAAATCATCTTTGATGAATTCCAAGAGAGACATATCTGTCGAATTGATCTGAATGACAATAGCGTATTCCTTAGGGGAAAGGCCAGGTGCAGCTACTGAAAAGAAAAAGGATGAGTGTGTTAGGGTGCATTATAATAACGGAAGGCTTACAGACTAGCATCTGTGGTTCCTATAGCTGCCTATAGCTAACAGAGTGTCCAGTCATTATTTCTGAAAGGGGATACAAAGGAGCTGAGAGTAACAGGAACCCCATTTGAGTGGTTTGAAATCTGTCAGAGTGAAAGGAGTTAAAATTCTCTCTCATTCCTTTACCCCGTTGGCCCAACAATTGTATTAGTCCTGAGTAAATAGCCATTGATCTCAGATCTGCTAAGAGGTTCATTCTTTCTCCCAAACCATTTACTTGACCTCCATCGTTGTGTAAGCGGAGGCTGAAAGAGCACTTCCCCGGCCTCCAGAGACACACTGGGAGAAAAGGCTTCAGGCACTGACTGGGTTTGCATAGGTCCACAGCATCATGGTGCTGCTTTGTCAAAATCATCACTTGTGGCTGGTTTGGGGATACAAATCGCTCTAGTTCCATAGCACTCATGGTATCAGATGCCATCAGGGTTCTGGGGCTGGAACTGGGGGTGCGGGCTGCTGCTCTGTGCTCTGGGTTTGGGGGCTGTAGCTGTGCGCTTGGGGGCTAGGGTTGGGGATCTACTGTGGCTATGTAATCCGGCCCTGCAGTACAGGGGACTGAGGCCATGTGCTCCAGGTGGTGGTCAAGGGCACTGCAGTGCCACTGCTCACTCTGGGGGTAGGGTTGTGGGGGGGCACTGCTATGGTGTTGTCTGCCCCATGCTTCTGGGCTGAGATCAGGGGGAGTAGGTTTGGGGGATGCACTGGGCAGAAGAAAGGGGACAAAAGGGTACAAGTAGGGGTGGGGCTTTGGGAATAAGGGGCGGGATCAGCAGCTAGTCTCCCCAAACCACCAGTTCATCTGCCATCCATGTGTGCAGTGTAGATATATACCAAGTGATCAAGGATGGAAAAGGGAGGTGGTTTAAGCCATTCTTCTGGGGAGGAGCTACAAAGTAACATCTATTTAGTCACTTTCAACTGTGATTGGCCACAGGGATTGCACCATAGCGATTCACGCTCTTGATCCGTGCCACTCACTATTTCTAGGAAAGCCATCCCAAGGGAGCTGTTCCCTGCTGCCAAAAGGAGACCTGCTGTCACACCAGTGTTTACCTACCCTGTCGCTTCTGCCTGTGCAGCTCTTTTGGGACGTTCTCCACTGCTCCATTTTCACTGTCAGGCTGAAAGAAGAAAGCAATTGTATGAGCTTATGTTTTATTTTATTTTATTTTGTTTTATTTTATGACTTTACCTGAGCTGCTGAAAACGGAGAGGACACTGGAACCCTATCAGTTTGCAATTGCTGGTCCATCATCTTTTGTAGACACTTTCACAGGTTAAAAACGCCAGTGGTTTCACGCTAATACACTTTCATTGTCTTATATTCTCCTTATTATTACTGATTACTTGTATACTCCTCATAAGTGTGTCTCAGGGTGAAATTCACCCCAGCACAAGGCATATGGGACACTTGAGTCTGAATGCACTCTATGTGCTTTACAGAACTGACGCACATGATCTCTATCTCAGAGAGATTAACGGTCTAATTTTAAAAGTGACATGACCAATTACAACAATAGAGGGGAGGGGCAAGGAGCCACAAGAGCCATAATAATAAGACCATCCTGTTACTATGGGATCATATTGAAATTTCTATTATTTGTACTCTCATGATAACCTAACTCACTTTTGTTGGTAAATCTTAGATCATTTTTTGCCATAATGATTTATGATGGCAAAATAATACTTTGTATTAAAAGATCAATATGAATTGGCTTGTCCCTGCTTTCATTAAAAACCTCCCTGGCCTCGCTCCAAGGAGTATTGGGCTCATAGGTATATGTACAATATAGATGGAAATGTTTTATAAGGGGATATTGCTACTATGAGCAACCAAGCAGGAGCTGTTGTTTCGTAATGTGAGAGCCCCAGACTGTCAGACAATGAGAGATAATCAAAACACAGAATCCCATCTCGTTTTTATTACTGATCAAATCAAACCAGCTCCTGCCCATCACCTGAAAACACTGGGAAAACAGAACACCAGGGACAGCTGTACCCATACTCTATGGACAAAATAAGATGGAAACTGTGTACTTAAAGTTATAGAACTTCAAAATAATCCTCACCATAATCTTATTTGGCCTTCAAGACCATTGTGTCTGAGCACCTCCCAATCCTTAATGAATGCATTTCTCCTCATAAGAGTTTATGAGGTAGCAGCATTTTACTAGGGGAATGGAGGCACAGAAACACTAATGCTATGTCTAGACTGCACATTATTGTGCAAGAAGATATGCAAATGAGGTACGGCAATGAATATTGCTGTGCCTTATTTGCATACCTAATGAGCCACCATTTTTGCGCAAGGGGCTTTTGCGCAAGAAGGAGCTGTCTACACTGCTCCTTCTTGCGCAAAGCAATCCTCTTGAGCAATAGCGGTTCTGCTGATTTTTTTCAGGCAGAACGGCTCTTGTGCAAGAGGAGGTTTTTGCACAAGAAGGAGCTGCATAGACATAGCCTAAGGATATGTCTACACTACAGAGTTTTTTCAGAAAAATGGCCATTTTTCAAAAAAACCTTAAATTACTTCCACACTGCAATTGCGTTCTTCTCAAAGAAAATTGGAAGAACAGAAGGGATTTTTCTGACGTTGGTAATCCTCATTGTACGAGGAAGAAGCCTTTTTTGCAAAAGAGCTCTTACAAAAAAAGGCATGCGTGGAAGGGAAAAAGGGAGTTCTTTAGAAAGAAGAGGAAAGAGGAAAAAGCACAGGTGCCCTGGTAGCTACTCCATCCAAAGTAATCACAGCTGAAATGCAAGATAATGTCCATTCAGTGTGGACGCTATCTTTTGAAAAAGCAGATCACTTTTTCGATGCACTTGTGTGTGGATGTGCTCTTTTGGAAGAAGGTTTTTCGGAAGATCTCTTTTGAAAAAAGGTTCTTTTGAAAGAAGCCCGCAGTCTAGACGTAGCCTAAGTGACTTAAACAAGGCCACATTGTGAGCCTCTGGTAGAGTAGGGAATTAAATACAATGTCTCCCAAGTCCCAGGCTTGTACCCTAACCATTGCACCAACCTATCTCTTGCTCCACAGTATGTCAATGTTTGGCCATGAGAGCGAGAAGATGCTACCTGTGAGGTGCTCCCACCTGAGTCTCCTTAACACTGTGTCTTCAGAAGATGGGCTAGGACTGATTCTACTGGGATTTCTTTGAGGGCCCCAGATTCCGATTCCTCATCAAAGGCTCTTAAGTAAAGTAAGTTGTCAGGGGATAAGAGGGAAGATCCTCTCATTGATTGATAACTGGTTAAAAGACAAGAAACAAAGGGTAGGAATAAATGGTATGTTTTCAGAATGGAGAGAGGTAACTAGCAGTGTCCCCCGAGGGTCCATACTGGGGCCAATCCTATTCAACCTATTTATAAATGATCTGGAGAAAGGGGTAAACAGTGAGGTGGCAAAATTTGCAGATGATACCAAACTGTTCAAGATAGTTAAGACCAAAGCAGACTATGAAGAGTTTCAAAAAGATCTCTGAAATGGCAAATGAAATTTAATGTTGATAAATGTAAAGGAATGCACATTGGAAAAAATAATCCCAACTATACATACAATATAATGGGGACTAATTTAGCTACAACTGCTCAAGAGAGTGATCTTGGAGTCCTTGTGGATAGTCTAGGAAAACATCCACTTAATGTGCAGTGGCAGTCAAAAAAGCAAATAGAAGATTAGGAATCATTAAAAAAGGGATAGAGAATAAGACAGAAAATATCTTATTGCCTCTATATAAAACCATGGAACACCCACATCTTGAACTCTGCACACCAATGTGGTCGCCTCGTTTCATAAAAGATATATTGACATTGGAAAAGGTTCAAAAAAGGGCAACAAAAATGGTTAGGGGTTTGGAATGGATCCCATATGAAAAGAAATTAAAAGACTGCAAGTTTTCAGTTTAGAAAAGAGGAGACTAAGGGGGGATATGATAGAGGTCTATAAAATCATGTCTGGTATGGAAAAAGTGAATAAGGAAAAGTTATTTACTTATTCCCACAATAAAAGAACTAGAGGTCACCAAATGAAATTAATAGGTAGCAGGTTTAAAACAAACAAAAGGAAGTTTTTCTTCACTCAGCGCACAGTCAACCTGTGAAACTCCTTGCCAGAGGATGTGGTGAAGACTAGGACTTTAATAAGGTTCATAAAGAGTTGGAGAGATTCATGAAGGTTAGGTCCATCAATGGCTGTTAGGCAGGATGGGTAGGAACGGTATCCCTAGCCTCTGTTTGTCTTGAAATGGATGACAAGAGAGGGATCATGTGATGATTACCTATTGTGTTTGCTCCTTCTGGAGCATCTGGTATTGGCCACTGTCGGTAGATAGGATACTGAGCTAGATGGACCTTTGGTCTGACCCAGTATGGCCGTTCTTATGTTTTTATATAGGTATCAGATCAGACACGTATTTCACAGGCCATCACTAGCATAGCACTTGAGACAGAGAGTAGCTGAGTTCATATGGGGCCTTCCAACTGCAGTACAGAATATGCTAATTTTATAGCATACCCTAAGATGTGCTGGTACCATTCTTAGTGATGGGTGAAGAAAAAACAAGTGGCAGGAAATTTACATCTTTGTCAGTTTGTGGAACTTAACTACAGTAAACTTCCGATAATCCGGCACCTTTAGGACCCAGGGGGTGCTGGATTATCAGATATGCCGGACTATCAGAAGGGGGGGCTATGAGGGGTCTGGAGTGGGGTGGGAGGGGATGCCACCCCAGACCCCTC